AGGAGGAGCAGAGGATCAATGCGGTTCAAGAATCGATTCCAGCGGTGAGAGGGATGGCGTCCCGGTCCCGCTGCCCGTGTCAGGAGCGGGTCCCCAAGTCCCGCCGTTAAGCGCACGGCTCCCCGCTCCTCACCTGGATCCATCCTGGGTGGATCCAGCACCTTGGCCCGGGATCAGCTCCCGGGGGATTCCCCAGCCTGCTGTCCCTGGGCGATCCCCTTCCTCCGAGGATGGGAGCTCCTGCCTGACCCGGGTCTCCCCTCGCAATCTGCGGACCTCGGATGGATTCCCGGACCTGGGACCCCAAGCCTGTCCTCCTTCCCGGGGATCCCTTTGCTCCTGGGGCTCACCCTCCCGATCCCCATACAGGGTGGGCTCTGGCTCTCTCTGGGAACCCGAACCCCAGCCCCGGGCGCCGCCCCCGAGTCCTCCGACTTGGCTTTGGCCTCCATCCCTTTACCTCCAGGGTGGGGGGGTCTCCTGGGGCGCGCGGAACCGGGTGGCGCCCTGCGGAGAGATTTGTCGTAAAGCGGGGTGCTAGGCATTTTGGGTGCTTTGTCTGTGAACGGCCCTAGGAACAGGGAAACTGAGGCACGCTCCGCCAGCTTAGCCCTGCCTGGCCGTGTAGGGGCCCTGCTGGTTCTCCAGCTGAGCGTCCCAGGGCGGTGCTATTTTGGGCTCTGCGAAGGGGTATGTTAGCTTTCGGGTGGCGAGACCTGCTGTGGAGGCGCCGGTGTTCGGAAACGAGGAGGAGGAACCGTGGAGGCGCCACCGGAAGGCTGGCCGCTGCTCATTCACTGTAGAGCTGGTGGAAATGCCGGGCTGGGGGGCGCCATGGCCTTACTCCCCTCTGGGGCTCCACCGTCTAACAATGGATGGAGGTTAGCCCAAGGCTCTGAGAGGAGCTCCGGGCTTTTCTTTTCTGTTTAAGTGGGTGAAAGTTCACCTCTCCAGGGCTTGTGGTAACTCCGCATCCCTTTGTGTAAATTCCCGGACCTTCACCACCAGCAGGTTTGCTGGGGGTGCAGGGACAGGGGAAATTGTAAGAAATGCATGAAATCTTCCCAGAAGGTTGTTGAGTTTTTAGACACTATCTTTTATATCCGAATTTTAAAGTACACGTTTTTTTTTTCTTTCCAGTCTCCATACCCTCACTGCCCACTCACCCATCTCATTCCTCCCCTAGTCCCAAAGGGTAAAGGAGGCAACAAATGCACAGAAGAGTTGACATGGTCTGGGCCACCAGGAAGGGGATCAGCTTGAAGACTTGGATTGACTTCTGAATATATTGCTTATCAGTCAGGGTGTTGAATGCCTGGCACTGTTCCCCCAGTGGGAACTCCATATCAGTGTGTCTAATGGCAAAATGGAACCATAGTGTTCCGACTTTAGAACCTGATGTCAGAAATGAAGACCGGAGGGGCTTTTAGAGAGAATGTAACATGCACTCAGGCATGATCAGTGAAGCCCTGTGCATGCGGTTTGTTTGATTTGGTTTTACTTCTCTACACGTCTGTGCTCTTCCTGTTTTCAGAGAACAGTAGCAATATTCTGTGAAATTGCCTCTTCCTTATTTGATTAAGAGTTTGTCTTTCTTACCTATTCCTTTGGATTCTCTAAAAAGAAAAAAAAAAAAAGACCCTGTTCAATTATTTGTTGCACAAATGTTAAAACAGTGTTACAACAACAACAACAAAAAACTTCATTTAGGATGCTACCCTCTCAGCTTATCGAACTGACTTTTTAATTATTTTTGCTGGACACTGATCCATTCCTTATTAGACAGTTGTAATGTGATTTTTGCGCTCTCTATTATTAACTTAAAAACTAAAAATACAGGCATTTTCTTTTGGTGTGGCATAGACTGTAATTTTCTTGGGGGCTTGTGTTTTGCTCAGTGGATATTTAACAGTTTCTTTCTTGATGACATCTAGACCCACCCTGATTTTCTTTGAAGATTTGTGTGATCTCATAATTTCCTGGTTCTCTATCATAGGCTAGGTTGGAAACATATTTCTAAGCATCAATTTTAACTTGGAAATAAAGCCTATAAACAAAAAGTAATGTAATGAGAATGTCCTGATTTTTGTGGTTCACACATTAAAATGCTGAGGATACTATTCTGCACCTTTTCATGCTGTGTTTATGATATATCTTTCTGAGCATTCCCAGGTAGGTAAATTACAAAGGAACTGGAGGACGGTACAAACACACTGTCTCTGAGGGGAGATGTGCTTCCTCCCTGATAGATTTATTGGGACTGAATAGAGGAGCACGAGGAGGGGTTTATGCAATGATGGCTTCTTAACAAACTTAGGATGTGAAAAATTCCACTGGAACACAGAGGCATATTTTATCTTCCTTGTTTTATCTGTTTCACACTTGAGTATCCCCAAGATACCTACACACACATAGACAAACACAAAGTCGTCCTCTCCCCTTCACAGCATCTCTGATTGATGGCAATAACTGCTAACATTTGTTAAGTGCCATTTATCTATGCCAGGCACTGGCTGGGCACTTGTATATTACTCATCCTCAACTGTAACTCTGGAAGACATAAATTATATACCCATTTGATAGAAGAGTAAATAGGTTTAGAGAATGAAAGGAAACTTGCCCATAGTCATACAGCTAGGAAGGGGTAGATCTAAGAGTTCAACTTCATGTCTCTCTCTCCACCACTCATGCTGCTAGCTCACCTCTTTCTCTCTCTAACTCCCTGCCCACACCACATCTGTGTGTATTCCATATAGGTATAAGATCCACAGAACTTCTACTGTATCTTCTTGTTGGTGTGTACTCATTTCAACAGTCTTGCAACCAAAGATCCAAGGGAAAAAAAGCCCTTTTCCTCAGCCCCAACCTCATGATCATGTAACTAGCTTCAAAAGTGGATATGTGGGAAAGCATTTTAATCTAAAGTATTAGAATCTTACAGGGCTACCTATTGTCTTTTTCCCCAAGTTCTTAAAGCACTAAATCATAGGCATGGGGTAGTCTCCTTATATACGCCATCTTCCTTTATTTAATAATGAAGTCAAGATTGGCACTATTGACAGTGGACGCTTTTCCTGAACAAATAGGCTCAGTCATAAAGGGGAGCTAATAGTAAGAAGGGTGCACTCATACATTGCAACATAAGAGATGTTGAAGGGGCCCTTGGAACATCCATTGTCTTGGCTTTTAAGTGTTTTTTTGTGAGACTCGGGGTTCTCTTGGTTCCAAGGCTGCGTGTTTCTCTTACTTACAGAACCTGCCGTGTCCACAGTAAAACTAATTGACTATGGGATATCTTTGTTAAGACGAAATAGTTCAGCAGTAGCTGGAATGTCTTTCTATTCTTTCAACAATCATTAAGCTCTAGCAATAAGCTGGGCATTGTACTTGAGTTTGGTAATGGAAAGGTGAACAAGATAGCCTGTGGAATTCACACTACCGTGGGAAAAGATGAAATAAAAAATAAGCTGAAACAAATCAAAGTCTTACCAATTGTGACACAGGGCTCTGGTTGGATATGGAGGGTTGAAATGATACTTCAGTTAGGATAGTCTGGAAAACTTCTCTGAGGAGGTGACATCTGAGCTGAGCTGAAAGGATGAGAAGAGAGCTGAGCATTCTGGAGAAGATCCTAGACAGAAGTAAACAGCAAGTACACACACCCAGAGGCAGACACAACCTTGATGTGTTTAAGGAGCAGAAAAGAGGTGGTATAGCCAGAGGGTGGAGAGAGAGAAAGATGCCACCCTGAGACTGGAGGGGGAGTGAGGCCCAGACCACTCAGGGCTTTTGGGCCTATGAACACTGTGTTTCAGTGCTATTGTAAGCACTTTGGGAAGCCAGAGGCAGACTTTAAGCTGGGATTGGGGTGTGTGATGTGATCTGGGTTTTTTGTTGTTGTTTGTTTTTGAGACAGGGTCTTGTTCTGTCACCCAGACTGGAGTGCAGTGGTGCCATCAGAACTCACTGTTGCAGCCTTGACCTCCGAGGCTCAAGCAGTCCTTCCACCTCAGTCCCAAGTAGCTGGGGCTACAGACGTATACCACCACACCGGGCTAATTTTTACATTTTTTTGTGTAGAGATGGGATCTCACTATATCGCCCAGGCTGGTCTCAAACTCTTGGGCTCAAGCGACCTCCTGCCTCAGCTCCCCCAAAGTGCTGGGATTACAGGTGTGAGCCACCATGCCCAGCCCCTGATCTGTTTCTAATGGAAAACTGTAGCTGCTATGTAAAGAAGAGAGTCTATAGGGGGTCAAGCAGGAAGACTAGTTAAGAGACTTTGTATTTGCACAGACTTGAGATGTTAGGTCTTTATTTAAGGTAGGAGCTGTGGAGCTGGGATTGCAGGTGCACGCCACCATGCCAGGCTAATTTTTATATTTTTGTAGAGATGGAGTTTCTCCATGTTGGCCAGGCTGGTCTTGAACTCCTGACCTCAAGTGATGAGGTGGACTTATTTGAAATATATTTTGAAGGTAGCGTTGACGGTACTTGCACTCGGAGAATGAGGAACACTTGCGGGATTTGATCTACTGAGATCAGCCTCTGAGATCTGCTGGTGGTCTGCAGATCTACTCAGTGGGCACAGTGCTTTGGGCTGAATTTCAAGTGTGTTAGTGTGCTGAGGAGTGTTCCCAGGCCTCTGATCTGTTCTTTCCCTCCACGGTTTTGAAATTCTGTCATGGCATGGGAGAGGGGTACGGGGGAAGGAGGAGGTGATAAGAACGTTGGGCAAGGGGGAAGGCAGGAGAGTTTTGAAAGAGAAAGTGAAGGGATGAGTGAAAAAACCCTGCTTCACTAGTAGTTTTATTAAGTGCAATTCCCACTCCCAGGACTAAATCACCTTCCTTCAAACCCTCTAGAGCTTGCTGGTTACTCAGGCATTGAGTAACCATTAGGGCCACTCCGCCTTAAATAGAGATGTCTTCCATAAATGGATGCTGTTTTCCATAACCAGCACTTGAACCTTTCCCATTTCTTTTTTTGGGGAAGAGATGAAGGCCAGAGTGTGGGAGTTGATTTACATTTTACATCTGCTTTTCCATTTAGGTCTTAGGAGTGATTTCTTCAGGAGGCTGTGGAGGAGGCTTGATTGCACCCTGGCAGGTTAGAGAGAAATGGGAAAATTGTATTGTACTTTCCCAGCAGAACAATTATGCTGTCTATCCTGCTGAGCCTCAGATTTAGAGAACTGCTTCCAGGATAGTTACCCTTATCTTTCCCTATTGCCCGTGTCTTGCTCTGTGCATCAGGAGAGAGTGCCTTGAGTCACCATGGGTGGGATATTTTTCTGTATAACTTTCTATTTTATTTTTTAATGTGAATGATTCCAGGTGATCAGGGACTCAGCTGTCATAAACATGGCCATCCAGTTTATTTGTTTTTAGGAGAAAATGTGAAAGTCTATCCCTGTTGCTGGGTAATGGCTTGACTATTTTTAGATTGGGCTGCCAGAGATATAAATTGCTATTTTAGTCTGCAGGCTGGTGGTGGGTAGACAAATCCTACTTACTGCACCCTACACAGAGCACTTTCAGTTTCATCTAACTTCAGCCATCTTGGGGCCTTGCTGTTTACCCTTGAAAATTCCTAATAGGGTATGCTACTTACAGCTCTGTTGTTATATCTCAGGGCAACGATGTGGTATATCCTCCAATACTTGGGACACTTTTAAAGCATTCTTCCCAAGAGTGTAATTATTTTCTTTTTTGCTAATAAGAACTGTATAGCAACACTCTTGTCCCTTAGGAAATAGTAAAATTTTTTAAAATATTAGCGGAGGAGAAAAGATGATGCTTGATAATAGTTAACTATATTTGAGAATAGCTTGGATAAATTTTGAAGCTAGTAGCTGTATATTTCTCTTTAACAGTTGATTTTCAAACCATCTGGTAGATTATACTCAGTAAGTACATATTTTGTACACTAGTTAAATATCTTAACCCATCAGTGGGCCAAGTGAAATATCTTCACTGTCCCAAATTCATTCCACAGTGGATTTTCCACCTGAACTATCTGTATTGTGTTAATAGTGGCTGCCACTTTATTTTTATTTATTTGATCTAAGGATAACAGGCTCTTCCTAACTCAGGGAGAGAGTATTGACTGGTCTTTTATTTGTAAACTGGGCACTCTCTAAAATGGCTTGGTCATGCGTTTTAGCCAATTTTTGGCAACTTGGTTCTACCATTTGGTTCAGCCTTGTACCATTTTTTATTGTGTGTATGAATAAGGTAATGAGTAGTTACAACTCATTAGTGGCACAAAATACCAACCACCTCCCCCTGCCATTCACACTTCTTTAAACTAGCTTGAGCAAAAGGATGATTTATTGTGCAAAGCCTGTTGACGTCTTACAGACTCTTAAGCACAGGAATGCAGTGGACCTCTGCGACCTGAATGCTGTTGAAGTTGTTTTTTTTTTCATTTTTTTTTTTTTGCCTCCATCTGTTTCTGTGCATCTGTTTCTTTCTTTTATTCAGACAGCTGCTTTTTTCTCTTCTTCTGAGAAAAAAAAGGATGAGTTAGACTAATCCAGAGTCCTTCATGAAACCTGTTGTGGGTATGGGTTGGGTTTTTGGTGAGGAGGGCATCCTCACTCAGCATACTGAAATGGAAGAATGCTGTCCTCTCTAGGTTCTGTGGTATTCATGCCTTTCGCCGTACTACTGATCGTCACAAAGTTAGCCTAAAGGGAAGTGTGGAATATGGGCATATGTCTATATATGTAACAGATTTTGATATTTAGATACATGCACACATTTGTGTGTATATATGAATTTTGTCGCCAAAAGAATCAGGTAGTAGTCATGTGTTTGGTCTTTAAAGCAGACTCTTGGAATTCAGGAATAATGAAGGTGAAAAACATACCTCCTGTTTTAAGTTGCCTGGAGGTAGCCAGGCATCATTTATTTAAGCTGTCTGGTGACAGGTAATACAATGTAGGGAAATTGGTGGGACAGGCCTGTTAATCATGGGATGTAGGGTTTAAAGATGCGCCTGTATAAAGTTTTGTAAATTTTAAGAGAGAAAATAGAAACTTTGTGTTTCAAATGTAGTGTATCCCTTTTCACTAAATGACAATAAAATTTAGAAAAATTTGTTTGTTTCTTTTTTAGTTGTACCGTGTGTGTGTGTGTGTGTGTGTGTGTGTGTGTGTGTGTGTGTGTGTGAATGGAGGAGGAGGCTTCCAGTTGAAGGGGTGGATATGGTTTCTGTTTGCTTTTGGTTGTAGAAGTTTGCTTTTGGTTATAGAAGGTTTTTCTTTTGAATAAACTGAAAGACTGCTTAATCTAGTAAACTAGGGTATTTGCTTAAGGATCATTGCTGTTGGCTCGTTTGACTCCTCTTTAGTGGCTTTGGCTTTATTACTGCAACTAGATATTTCCACCAGTCACTTCCTCGCTTAGAATAGACCACATGCCCACTGGTAGGTTTACTCATTGTTCTTCACACACTTTGAGTTTTTCTTACGTCACGTTCTTTTTGTTTTTACAGGTTCATGAACCATCGAGCTCCAGCCAATGGCCGCTACAAGCCAACTTGCTATGAACATGCTGCTAACTGTTACACACACGCAGTGAGTACAAGTTTTCCGCCATTGCCACCTTTCCACAGGGCTTTGCGGGGAGGAAGGGGTAGTTACTCTAGTAACCTCAGCGCAATTAGTTGGATTTACCCATCTCTGTGACCTTATCTACCAGGAAATCAGTGCTGGGTCACGTCACCAGAAGCTATATAAGCATGTAGAACGCTTTGTGTGTTCTAACCTACAGTCAGCTCTGTCCTGGATTTGCTTTCTCCAACAAGATCTTTAAGGGAATAATAATAGTATATACCCTAGTTATAGAAAAACCAAAGACACCTATTTATGAAGACTCTCACCCCTAGAATGAAATGAATCGCCTTTTCAAGACAATCAGCTGTGTTCATTTGGCAAGGAGAGTTCACAATTTGTTGAAAACGATGCATTTTTAAATTAAGTGATCCTCTGAAATGGGGAGGGGAGCCATGGCCTCCCACCCCTACAGTGGCCACTGCTCCCCAGAGGAGATGTTATTCCATATTGGTGAAGAAAAAGCTGATGTGATCCATAAATTTTTCTGTTAATTTTTTTCTGCATTATAAAAGCAAAACATGCTCATTATTAGAAACTTTAAAAAATACTGAAAAACGTATACGAAAAACAAAACTAACCAGGAATAAACTGTTAACACTTTAGTGCATTTCTTTGTGTGTGTGTGTGTGTGTGTGTGTGTCTGTGTTGGGGGTGTTTGTGAATATGTATGTATTTTCAGTTTTCCTGTTAATGTGACATTAATGGCATTTTCTTATGTCATTATAAATTTTTTACTTTATCTGTGGTTTCATTATTCCCTTGCATTTAGTGACTTTGAGGGAAAAATAGTGGCTGGGATACAGTCTGAAAACAAGAAATAGAGAAAAGACCAGTTTACTTCTTTAACAATGAATGTTTAGAACAGGCTAGTTTATGATAGACACTGTTGGTACAATACAATTATTCAGATACTGAGACACACAGCTTACCTTTAGGAATAATATTTACTCAGGATGAACCTGAATAAACTAACTTGTCTCTTCTGAGTGTGTCACAGGCTAAGGAACACTTGTGTAAACTGTAGTTAAGGGAAACCTGACAAAACCTCCATATTAAGTTTTTAGAACAGAAAATATAATCTTATTAAACCATATCTTGAATTTTTGGATTTCAGGGACCAATAATATTTCTAACACAAACAAAACACCCCTTTTGTCATCATTTCACTGGAGAGAACATACTTAAACATGAAAAGTAGAAAGGACATGGTCTCAAGATCTCAAGATAAAGGGCATTCCTTTCAATGAAATACATTTTGTTTTATGAAAAACTTTATTGTACTTAAATATACTTAAATCCTCTGAAATAGGGAGGGGAGCCATAGACTCCCACCCCTACAGTGGCCATTGCTTCCCAGCAGAGATGCAATTGTATTTAATGTTCTAATTTTGCTTGGGCCAATGAAAACTTCAGCATCTGAAAAACTCATGCCAGTCTCATCTAGGGGATTTAACATTCTGTTGCAAGATGGCAAATGTAGGTTTGGGGAGAAAAAAGATAAGCAAATTGCTAATGATTGTATTCTTTGTCAAGTATACTTCTTCTAATATCTAATAAAGTCGTTTATCCTCCTGGGAGTTTCTGTCATGATAAGATGTTTACTAGTCATAATCATACACGTATGACTAGACCTTAAAGTTTGTGACCATGTGGACTATGAAATATGGTGCAGAAAGCAAAATTCTCTCTAAAATTCTCAGGATTTTTTGAATAGGTGGGCCTTGGAAATGGATTGCTCTTGCTTATTTAAAAGGCTCTGTTAAAAATGAAGTGACCCCAAAACACTCTCTGCAGTAGTTCTCAAATTGGTGGAATGTACTGATCCAAAGTGAAAATCAGGGTGTATAACTTCAACAATTGACTTTTTGTATGTGTGTGTTGCTATGTACTTTATAATACCTATTACTTGATTTGTTCAATTATCCTGACCTGAAATATTGAGATATCAATTGCAACAGGACAGATGTTTTAAAATGAGGACCTCCCTGAAAAATCTGCGTATATGCTTGGCTTTTTTTTTTTTTTTTCTTTTTGACACAGGGTCTCACTCAGCCTCCCAGGCTGGAGTTCAATGGTACAATCACGGCTCACTATATCCTCAGCCTTTCAGGCCCAAGCAGTCTTCCCACCTCAACCTGCCAAATAGCTGGGACTACAGGTGTTTGCCACCATGCCTGGCTAATTTTTTAAATTTTTGTAGAGACTGAGTCTTGCTGTGTTACCCAGGCTGGTCTCGAACTCCAGGGCTCAAGCGATTCTCCTGCCTCAGCCTCCCAAAGTGCTGGGATTACAGTCATGAGCTACCACACCCAGACTGCTTGCTATTTGAATCTTTCAAGTAATTACTCTAAATCAGATTACAAAGTAGAATGAAACATGTCCTTATTTAATGAAATTAGGATAAAGAACATCTGTTTTGCAACAGCTGAATAATGTTGCATCCTTGATGGCTTAATTGTATCCCCATTGGTGGGCACAATTCCTGGGCCCTGAATGGTATTACCTGCTTTCCAGTGTAGCAGCTAATTTCATCTGGCTCTCGTTACGATTATCCAGGAGAGACAAATACTTGCTTTAAGATTATTTTACTAAAATTGTTCCTGGTAAACCTCTGTACTTTTAGTAAAAGACTCAATTCCATAAAAGCCAGAATATTCCATTCACCATTCTTTATCTTTCCCTCAGTTCCTCATTGTTCCGGCCATCGTGGGCAGTGCCCTCCTCCATCGGCTGTCTGATGACTGCTGGGAAAAGATAACAGCATGGATTTATGGAATGGGACTCTGTGCCCTCTTCATCGTTTCTACAGTATTTCACATTGTATCGTGGAAAAAGAGCCACTTAAGGTACAGTGGATGGCATGCTGTTTCAACAGATCCAAATAGTTGACTCAACATGTTTGGTAGCCTCCCACGCTGGCATGCTTTAGTCAAGTAGGGCAAAGAGTAGACATTTTTCTGCCTTGTAGACTAGAATACTATCCCATTATTCAGGACTTGTTCTTTGGACTGGATGAAGTTTGAGGACTCCTCCCCAGTATGCATCTAAAAAGGCAGGCCTTTGCTCAGTAACCCCAAACAAAACCTCACTGATTCCCCAGGACTTACCACTTAAAAACCTGAGAGCTATTTTCCAATACTATCAAGCACACTAAGGATATGATGGGAGCAGCAGCTGTGGGGTAGTGACAAAGCACACTGAGCTTGGAGTCAGCAGGCAGGTTTTGAGGCCCAGCCCTACTCTTTAATGTTGGGTAAATCACTTGACCTTGTGGAGCCTCAGTATCTGTATCACTTAAATGAGAATAATAATACCTGAGTCAGTCAGTGTGATAGGTGAATGAGATAAGGTACTTGAAAATAACTTGAAAATTACAAAAGACCCCACAAGTGTGTGAAGTATGGAGGTATACTTATTGTTTGAGTTTACCATTTTGCAAAGTTTAGCTTTCAGAATTAAGTCTTGTGTATATTATTCAAAGTTCACATATTTTGCTATTAATAGCCGTCAAGCACTTTCAAAACAATACTATAGCTCTTGGCCTGCCAACGAGAAGAACGTAAAAGCTTTCCTCCTCTGAGTGAAGGATTGATTTTGGAGCACCACACCATTGAGGTGGGAATGGGTTGCTTGTGAAATGGATTCTGCACAACCCTAAAGGGCAAAACTTCTTTTCAAAACAGGAAGATTCAGAGCAGAGTATGAGCAATTTAAAGAAATACTCGAATATGCCTTTTGGTTTTAAAGAATGTCCAAAAAAACCTCAAACTATTCAAACAATCTGATATTTAAAAGATATGCTTCATTTACAAGCAGGATTTGAGATTTATGAGATGATTACTGGTTCCCTCACATGTAGAATCCTAGAGTTTTAGAGCTGGGAGGATCTTTATAAATCATCTAATTCAAATCACTTAATTTTTATTTGGGGGAACTGAGGCTCAGAGAAGTGACCTGACTTGTCTGAGTCAGTGAAACCAGCAGAATCCGATTATTCCAAGACCTCTGACTCCAAGTCCTAGTTTTTTTCACCATATCTTTTACAATATTGCATATAGCTTGCAGTCTGCTACCTTTTCCTGTAAGATGACAGTTTCCTGGGCTTAAAATAAAACTACAGCATTGAATCACAAGGGCACTCTGGGACACTCACAAGAGAACCACAAAAGTGCCTGTCCTGGCTCCTTAGGACACACTGCCACAGCGCCCAGAGGCCAGGTTAAAAGGTTATTATCTTCCTGGCACAATTTAGTGCTTGTGGTTGTCTCAGCAAACTTGGTTTCGATATCTAGATTCTGGATCAATAAAAAGTTGTAGGTACCTACTTCAGTATTCTGGATCTTCCTGCCAGAGGTGTAATAGAAACTAGATTCTCTTGAACTTTGAATAGCACTGCTAGAATCATATGCCATGTGTAGATTTTTGCTCTTATAGAATTTTTAAATATCAAAAAAGGCTTATTTAAGTAAAAGTGAGAAGGGAATTAGCATTTATTACATGGTAGGTGCTCCCGTGTGCTAGGTACTATGCTAGATACATGGCCTACATTATCTCATTTAATGTTCACACATACTCCATGAGAAAGATCTTATTTTCACTTTAGCTATGAGGAAAGTGAGAGTCAGAGAGGTCGGTGGCAGATCTTGGATAAGACTCCAGATCTGTCTACCTACTCTAACAGCGTATAACAATCTAGAAAACAGAATTAGAAAGGCCCAAAACCTTGCTAGGAATCACAGTCATCCAAGGAGTTATAAAAACTTGTTCTTCCCCTTCCTCCAACCTCTATCTCACCTCCTAGCCCTTCAGAGTCTTCTGAACTGAAGGCCATCACAGTATTTTACAAGTTCCCCAGCTGATGATGTGCAGTCAAGTTTGAAAAGCATTGATGTAGTGTTCACTTCTTTAGACCTATGGCATAAAGTATCATCTATGGGTATGCTATAGCTTCTGATGACTAATAGACTGAAACCCATTCTTTCTCACAAATGTATTTTTCATTCCATTAAAACTTTTTTTTTATTTTTAATTTTTGTGGATACATGGTAGGTATATATATTTATGGAATACATTTTTCTTTTTTTTTTTTTTTGAGACAGACTCTCACTCTGTTGCCCAGACTGGAGTGCAGTGGTGCAATCTCAGCTCACTGCCACCTCTGCCTCCCGGGTTCAAGTGATTCTTGTGCTTCAGCCACCTGAGTCGCTTGGACTACAGGCCTGTGCCACCACACCTGGCTAATTTTTGTATTTTTAGTAGAGACAGTGTTTCACGGTGTTGGCCAGGCTGGTCTCAAATTCCTGACCTCAAGTGATCCACCTGCCTCAGCCTCCCAAAGTGCTGTGATTATCGGTGTGAGCCACCACGCCCAGCCTTTACGGGGTATATTTTTTCACTTACACAAGTCCTTATTAGTTTGCTTTGGTCAATGTTACATGTAGGGGGAGGCAAAGTCTAATACTGGTGTTCCCTCAAATTATAGTTATACCTGCTTGGACAGTGAAAATAGATTCAAGATGATACTACAAATTTGTACTTTTAAATTACCTCAGTAAAGGGCAGATTCCGTCTAATCCATTTTATGAATAGACCTCAGTGAACCAAACTCTTTGTACGTAGACCCCTGACTTTTCAGTTTTGGAAGGAGGAACTTGCTTAGAAATACAGGTGGCCATGCTTTTGTAGTAAATGTGCCTTTCTTTGTTTTTGTTACTGTTTTTCCTAAGTTAGTTTCTGAATTTCCTTTATTACTATTTACTATCCACACCAGGGTATTTGAAGTAAAAACAGTAAATACACTCTAAAAAGATACAAAGAATGTGATTTCAGCTCAGGGAGTGTTTACTGAACATCAGGACTTTGCCCTGCACTGATAGGAGCTGGGGTGAGCGGGGGAAGGTGGTCTGCCCTCCAGGAACTTCATTTTTCTGTTAGATGGGATCCAAAAGAAATGGAAAACATCAGAAAAGACAGATTCTGTTTGTTTGCTTTAACCACTTCAGATTTCCTGACTATCATGGAGCTCTGTCCCTATGTCTCATATATGCTGAGAGTATCTATTGTATGTGCAACCTAAAAAATAATACAAAGCTTTTACTCATGACTTCATAACATTAGCAACAACAAAAATGTGTGTGCCCTTGGCAGAACAAGTGTAAAGGCCATGAGAACAAGAACAAGAATGGAAATTGCAACATAGTGGAGTGATAACCCATACTTCCTATCTGAACACTTTCTGAAAAACTTACTTAACTTTTTTTTCCCCCTCATTAGGACAGTGGAGCATTGTTTTCACATGTGTGATAGAATGGTTATCTATTTCTTCATTGCTGCTTCTTATGCTCCATGGTAAGATACAGTCTTCCTATTTTTGAAGGTAGTGATTTTATGATTAGAATTCCTCACTCCTCCTTTCCTCTCTTCCTCTTGTCCCCACCCTCAGCCCTCATGTGTACACCACGTCCCCTCCTCCTGAACACATACGTGCATGCATTTTTTTTTCCCATTCGATGTACTTGGGTCAGATTGCATATTTGAAGGGGAGAATATTGCTGCTGTTTATAATATCTTGGTATTGGATTGTTCGAGAAGAAGTGCAAAGGTTTTGGTGGAGATAGGGTTTCACCATGTGTGCAGATAGCTTGCTCACTCTTGAAATCTGTAACCTTTGCTCTCCATATTGTTTCCCTGTACCTCTGCTGTTGTTCAGAACACTAGAAAATTGAATTGTTTAAGTGGAAATGCTGTAAATATGTATGAGGAAAGCGAGCTTATTTATTTATTTTATTGTTTTTTTTTGAGACAAGAGTCTCGCTCTGTAGCCCAGGCTGCAGTACAGTGGCATAATCTCGGCTCACTGCAACCTCCGCCTCCCGAGTTCAAGAGATTCTCCTGCCTCAGCCTCCTGAGTAACTGGGATTACAGGCACGTGCTGCCATGTCTGGCTAATTTTTGTATTTTTAGTAGAGATGGGGTTTCACCATGTTGACCAGACTGATCAGGAACTCCTGACCTCAAGTGATCCGCCCACCTTGATCTCCCAAAGTGCTGGGATTATAGGCGTGAGCCACCATGTCTGGCCTATTTTTTTTTATTTTCTGAGACAGGGTCTCACTCTGTCTCCCAGGCTGGAATGCAGTGGCGCCATCTCAGCTTACTACAACCTCCACCTCCCAGGTTCAAGTCATTCTCCCATCTCATTCTCCCAGGTAGCTGGGACTACAGGCATGTGCCACCACACCCAGCTAATTTTTGATTTTTTTGGTGGAGATAGGGTTTCACCATGTTGTCGATACCAGGTTGCTATCAAACTCCGACCTCAAGTGATATGCCTGCCTCTGCCTCCCAAAGTGTTGGGATTACAGGCATGAGCCACCATACTCAGCCATTTTTGTTTGTTTGTTAGTTTTGAGACGGAGTCTCACTATGTTGCCCAGGCTAGAGTGCAGTGGCAGTGGCCCGTGGTCTCAGCTCACTGCAACCTCTGCCTCCCAGGTTCAAGTGATTCTCCTGTGTCAGCCTTTGAGTAGCTGGGGCTACAGGCATGTGCCACCATGCCTGGCTAATTTTTGTATTTTTAGTAGAGACGAGGTTTCACCACGTTGCCCAGGCTGGTCTCAAACTCCTGACCTCAAATGATCTGCCCGCCTCAGCCTCCCAAAGTGCTGCGATTACAGGTGTGAGCCACTGCACCCAGCCTGTTTTTGAAATTTAAGCCATTTGTCTTCAATTCACCTCAAGTGCAGTAGCTACTATATAGCAAGTGTGTTTATCATTTCTTTTGCGGAGTAAGAGAACCGGCCACATGAGTTAACTATTTAAAATACCTAGTATTCTGTTTAGTGCCTTTGATCTTTCTGCCTTTTTAGTGCTGATCAAATATAATCTTTTGTTGCTTTGAAACTCTTAAAGAAACATTAGCTTTCCTCTACAAGACATAATCCAGTTTTAAAAACTCAGAAGCTTATATTTTGCTATCATCTACTGCAGTCATTAGAAACAGGATGCCTCTAGATTCTGGCTAATGCAGCATCAATGATTCAAAAGAAACCTGATTATCTGAAGGAGTAAAAAGTAAGTGCTATCTTTGCCCAGCATCTGACTAAATTATAGGTTGGCTTCACGTTGGAAGAAGCACACTGAAAGGCCTTTATGAATGGATATTAAATGCCCAGAACAATGCTTATTTCAGTAGGAACCTACAGGGTGTTCCAAACAGGATTCCTTACTTTAGTTATTTTAAATTCTTTAATTTAAAATAAGTAAATGAATAAAAAGAATTTAAATGTGAGCTGAGGAGTTAAATATCAGAGTAGGCAATTTGTTTACCTGTAGTTTTAGATATGTAGGCTGTACTTTTTCCATTTGGAAATGTGACTTTTGTAGTTATAGATAATCAGGACAACATTTGTTTTTTTCTCATTTATTCTTTTTTTTTTTTTTTTTCTTGAGACGGAGTTTTGCTCTTGTTGCCCAGGCTGGACTGGAGTACAATGGTGTGATCTCAGCTTACCACAACCTCTGCCTCCTGGGTTCAAGAGATTCTCCTGCCTCAGCCTCCCAAGTAGCTGGGATTAGAGGCACATGCCACCATGGGCACATGCCCAGCTAATTTTTTTGTATTTTTAGGAGAGACGGGGTTTCACCATGTTGGTCAGGCTGGTCTCCAACCCCTGACCTCAGGTGATCCACCCATGTAAGCTTCCTAAAGTGCTGAGATTATAGGTGTGAGCCACCACACCTGGCCTCATTTATTTTATTTTTTTATTTTTTTGAGACAGAGTCTTGTTCTGTCACCCAGGCTAGAATATAGTGGCGCTTTCTTAGCTCACTGCAACCTCTACCTCCTGGGTTCAAGTGGTTCTTCTGCCTCAGCCTCCCTAGCTGGAATTACAGGTGCCCACCACCATACCCAGCTAATTTTTATATTTTTAGTAGAGACTGGGTTCCACCATGTTGGCCAGGCTGGTCTTGAACTCCTGACCTGAAGTGATCTGCCAGCCTCGGCCTCCCAAAGTGCTGGGATTACAGGTGTGAGCCACTGTTCCCAGACTTCTCATGTATTCTTAATATGAAGTTAGTACAAATGAGTTTGCAGCATTTTAAAATTCAGACCTCACAACAGTCCATGGTTAAATTCCAACAAAATGTCTTCCATAATGTATGTTAGGAGTAATTCTTCTCATATTCTCTCTTGGCAGAGAGATTAATAATGGAGACAGTTGGTTTGTGTATTAGGTATCCACTGTGGATATGTGATCCTGGTTCAGGATTTTGTTCCAGGTTCTCATTAAGCTTTGTAAGCAATCCACTCCCAAATACACAGTCAGAAATTAAAGGGCAAGCAGTCTTGACCTCATTCTACCTAATAGGGTAAGTTAGGCGTCACAAGAGTGCTGGGACTCCCTTCTACTTGTCTGCTTTTAGCTGGTTCTATTTTTAAACCATGTCGAAACTAATTCTAAGGTTTTTTTTTTGTTTTTTGTTTTTTGTTTTTTTAGTCAAAATCTTGCTCTGTCACCCAGGCTGGAGTGCAGTGGTGTGATCTCAGCTCACTGCAACCTCCGCCTCCCGGGCTCAAGCGTTCTCCTCTCTCAGCCTCCCGAGCAACTTGGATTACAGGCACATGCCACCATGCCTGGCTAATTTTTGTGTTTTTAATAGAGATGGGGTTTCACCATGTTGGCCAGGCTGGTCTTGAACTCCTGACCTCAAGGGATCCGTCCGCCTCGGCCTCCCAAAGTGCTGGGATTACAGATGTGAGCTCCCGGCCTAATTCTGAGTCTTAAAGGTTGACTGACAAATTTGTCTTTTAGTTGCTTAATTTTACCTAAATTGCCCAAATGCCTCCTTGATGTGTTGAGTGCCTTTTCTTCCTGCTCTTATCCTAAGTCTTTCTCAGTTTTCAATGACACAGGTTCTGTTAATTCCCTTCATTTATCACTTCTGTTCTTTGTTGTCATGTTTACATTTTTAGGTTAAATCTTCGTGAACTTGGACCCCTGGCATCTCACATGCGTTGGTTTATCTGGCTCATGGCAGCTGGAGGAACCATTTATGTATTTCTCTACCATGAAAAGTAAGAGAAAATAATTTACATTTGATAGTTTTAAAATCGACTGCCTAAATATTACCTGCATTGCAATATAATTTACTTTTATTCGTACTTCAAAATAGTAGAAATACATAAATAGAATATGTTATTTTTAATAAATCTTCAAAACCATTTGGTATCCATTATTAGTGGAAAGATTGCTGTGGAAAAACAAGAGTGGTACAGGTGTGGTATAATGCAGTTGAGGGGACATGGTGACCAGCCCCTTTGGAGTCCGTCAGACTTCATTTCTATAGCATGAGGCAAATTGGCCTTATTCTCTGTGATTCAGTCATCATGTGAGAAAAACAGCCGCTTGTCAAGGTGTTTATGAAGATCGGAGAAAATAGGTATTAAATGCCCAGCACAATATTTACCTAAAGAAGGGCGTATAGGGTATTCCAAAAAGGGTATCTTGAGAAAAAGGATGTTGGGAAGGACATTGGAACTCTTAATATCCTAGCTCTAGGTTACTGCTTTTTAGCCAATTATTCATAGCTGACAGTCCTAATTATTGAGCAATATAAAAACAAAAGCTTATTGAAATTTAGCATCTTCGCTCTAGAGGAGACCTTCAAGGTCCCCTATTCCAGCTTCATGATTAAAAAATCAGAACATTTAGGATATGCATCAAATTAGTGACTCATCTGGAAATTAGGACCCAAACATCCCAGTTCTGATTCCATTGCTCTTTTCGTTACCCTGTATGTTTGAATTTGAGAAACACACAACCATGAAATCTTTGTCATTGGGTTTATTTACAGTTCATTAAATTCTTTATCTATTGTGCTTGGCAGAATGGCTCTCAGAATTGAACATAATTTGTGTTTATCAGAAAGTACCAAATTGTTTTCCCCTTTCAGAAGAAGAAAATGGTAGTTTTCACTACTTTTTGGCTCTGAAATTCACTTAAATACCTTTTTACCATAATTAGCATTGCTGAGTACTGTTATATATTATAGTATATATAAGTCCGAGGGAACAGTTTGCTTCTTGGACTCAAATCTCTTATTTATATCCTTGAATAAACTAGGAAGTCAAGAAAGGCAACTATCTTTTCTCCTTTTGCCGGCCTTCTGGTATAAACAAAGCCCATAAACCCATTCTTCCCCTATATGATTATTTCATGGTAGGCTTTGAGTATAAAACACGATGAATGAGGTATGAGTCACCCTTGGCCATTCAGTTTGGCAGACATTAGGGAGTACCTAAATTGTGTCGGGTACTATTCTAGGATTTACAGATCAAAACATAATTAAATCTTGGTTCCTGCCTTTGAGGAGCTTATAGTCTGGTTTGATTAGGCTGAAAGGTAATTTGAATTTCAGTGCAATGTATTTCTTGGAGTTTTTAGATCTTTTGTAGTCTAATGTGATGAACCTTAAAATTACAGTTTGTGCAGGTGCAAAATAAAGAGACAAACAGAATTACAGGTCCTTTCGTTAGGGTTTGCCGTTCCTTTTTGCTGATAAACTAGGCTCCAGGCTGCATCTCCATTCATCTTCTGAATTTCACTTATAGCTATGGATTGGAATGGTAATGAAAGCAGACACTCTAGGATCAGAAGAGGAAATCTTTTACAAGGTGGAGTGGGTTAAACGATAACTACTTTTGGCAGAAAACATTTTCTTTTTCTTTTTTTTTTTTTTTGAGATGGAGTCTCGCTTTGTCGCCCAGGCTGGATAGAGTGCAGTGGCGTGATCTCGGCTCACTGCAAGCTCCGCCTCCCGGTTTCACGCCATTCTCCTGCCTCAGCCTCCTGAGTAGCTGGGACTACAGGCACCCACCACCACGCCCGGCTAATTTTTTTTGTATTTTTAGTAGAGACGGGGTTTCACGGTGTTAATGTTACCCAGGATGGTCTCGATCTCCTGACATCGTGATCTGCCTGCCTCGGCCTCCCAAAGTGCTAGAATTACAGGCGTGAGCCACTGCACCCGGCTGGCAGAAAACATTTTCTAGGTAGCATGTGGGATTTGATGCCTTTTCAACCCTGAAAGAAATGCTAGTTCCTTATTACTCAACTACTCAACTACTGTGTTTTAGTTAGAGGCCTAGTGGTTGCCTACTGAGAAATAACGTTGTATTTGAATAGTTAAGAGTTTATATTTCTTTCTCAAAAGTAGAAAGGAAAGGCTGGTATGTAAATTGTTAGGTGTTATAGAAATGCATAAGTTAAATTAACTGCACTTCTGTTCCTACAGGTATAAGGTGGTTGAACTCTTTTTCTATCTCACAATGGGATTCTCTCCAGCCTTGGTGGTGACGTCAATGGTAAGACATGGCTTCAGAATTTTAGTTATTTTCTTTTAAACTGCTGGAACTTAGTATGATTATAGATATGATATATAGCTTTTCTTTCTGAAGTTATGTCCATTAAATAGAGACTCAAAAGAAAAATAACTTATAAATAATGAAGTGTTTAGCTGGGCATGGTGGCATGTGCCTGTGGTCCCAGCTACATGGGAGGCTGAGGCAGGAGGATTGCTTGAGCCCAGGAGGTTGAGGCTGTGGTGAGCTTTGTTCATGCCACTGCGCTATAGCCTGAGGAACAGAGCGAGACCCTGTCTCAAAAAAATAATAAAAATAATGAAATGTGCCAGCAACTCGTAAGCTTGCACTAGGCACCATGTACATTTCGGGAAAGCTATAAATTTAGGTATGTTTCTGTCTTTATGGTACTTTCCTGAATCAGAACCAGAATAGGTTCAGAGAGATATTTTTCAAATCCCTTTACTCTTACTTTTCCTTTCCCTTGCTTTTAAGTCATAAGTCAAGCACTTTTTTTTGTTTGTTCTGTTTTCTAAGGCAAGCACTTTTTTTTTTTTCCTTTTACTTTGCTTGACTATATCTTTTGGGGATTTTTGTGGGTAAAGTGTAACATTACCTGTAATAGGCAGTTGCATGTATATATTTGAATTTCCTTTCAAATTGAATTACTGTTGAGAAGTCTGTGTGTATCTGTCCTTTTGAAATGAAAATATATTATTACAACTTCATGGTTCCATCCACCTGGTTACCAGGCCTTTGGCTTATATATTCCAGTATCTTAGGCTCTAGGCACTATATTAATTAAAGAGGTCCCAATGTGTTTAGTTTGAACTCTTCTGAGCCTATGTCATTCAGAAGAACTGTACTTATGATTTCACTCCTAATCTCATAGGCACATTGTAAGAACTTTTTTTTTTTTTTGGGGGGGGGTGGGGGGACAGAGCCTTGCTCTGTCGCCCAGGCTGGAGTGCAGTGGTGCAATCTTGGCTCACTGCAACCTCTGCCTTCTGAGTTCAAGTGATTCTCCCGCCTCAGCCTCCTAAGTAGCTGGGATTACAGATGCCGGCTGCAACCCTTGGCTAATTTTTTGTATTTTTAGTAGAGACAGGGTTTCACCATATTGGCCAGTCTGATCTTGAACTCCTGAGCTCAGGTGATCCACCCGCCTCGGTCTCCCAAAGTGCTGGGATTATAGGCATAAGCTTCACGCCTAGCTATAGGAACATAATTCTGTGATAGTTTTTTTCCTGGTCACAGAAACACCTATAAAAGGTTTAAGACTTTCAAATCTGGTTCTGTTTTTTCAGGGGATGTCTTTATGAGACTATAACAAAATATATTTCTTTGAGATATGAGGTTTATGATGGTTTTAATAATTACCTAGCACCCAAAATACATATAGATGGTATAAGCAACAGGGAATGGTTAGGAGGAGGAGTTTAGTGACAGAAATGAGAAAATCAGCCTTGAAGGCCATGTAGTTAGAGGGCATTTCAGGACACCCAAAGCAATATAAGCAAGGTTTGCGCAGCCTAATTATTAGAGTAGAATTTCAAGCAAATTCCCTCTGGGTATCATAAGAGCAGGTTTATCCAGTAATTTTACTAGCCTAAATCTGTAATTGATATTTCCGTAAGTGGTACAATAGCGGGTGAGTAATGTTTCTGATAATCAAGCAGGATGATCCCCCACATTGCCTTCATAGAAAGGATAAAATTGATCCTCTAGTAAATAAACTGCCTAACAGAACGAAACTCAACAATTTTTAAAGGAATACAACAGAATCTTTACTGTAACAACCTAGCATATACCATAAGTAAATATTATCAGAAATCAATAATAATGTAATAAAATAAATAATAAATATATAATAAATAAATATTACCAGTTAGGCAAGAAACTGGAAAATGACACATACCTAAGGGAAAGCAAATCAATAGAATCAAGCAGGCAAATACAGTTCCTACTAAAGAAAAAGAGATCATGAAATTTGATAAAATATTTGATTGGGGAAAGTTCAGGCTGCTATGGGAGCATTACAGAAGTACCAGAGGAAGTGATATTTCAG